TAAGACCCTCGAGTAGCTGGCTTGATCTGTCAGACGTTTAACATTTTGCGTATGTATGTATGTATGTATGTGTATGTATGTGTATGTATGTGTACAGAAGCACCTTTAGAACACATCACCACAACTTTCGTCACGACGATCTCTGCCGTAGGTCACATGTTTTAAGAGCAGACATTGTTACACTTTGTGCAAATGTATGAACTGTTGAATAGCTCACGGACATAATACATTGAGTGTCATGATTTTAATCTATGGACACATTCCGAATAATCCCGATGCCATTTGGGATACAATATCCTACAGGATACTGAGTGGTGTGGAAGGAACTGAGGGTGAGTCGACTTCAAATCATTAATGAACAAATTTAGCGTGTGAGAGTGGTCAGTTTCCAGTAGCCAAATGTTTTAAAATGAAACTTTTTATCATGTTCTTTCGACGCTTATGTGTGAAAAGCATTAAACAAGAGGAAGCAAAATTAGTAGAAGAATACCGGACAAAAGCTTCGGTTCCTGTACTTATAAAATACACGAGTAGAAGGGTGAAAACCAGATCGACCCCAAGCACCTGTCATCCTTGTTGTTTATAGTTACCAGACCTGTACCTAAGGAACTAAGTGATTGGTTGCAAAATATTTCTCACGTTATTCGGACGGCGACGTTTGGATGTGTGGAAGTCAACAGGTAGGCCCCTGCAAGGTTACATGTAATAAACATACATATCAGCTGTGCTCCGAACCGTTTGTTATCTAGACACTTGAGTCACAGATTTACCTTCTCTAACTTTCAAATTTAGCAACTTCAGACTGTTATTTGGTGCATTAGTATACATAACATGCATTTACCGCTAATGCAACGTCATTCCGTATTTTCATGGTTACGTCCTATCTGTTTTTAATACCAGGGCGTCAGACTTACGATACTGACAAATATAGCTGTGTTGTGATGGTAAACACAATGTACAAAACAGGCTACAGATGTGATTCTTTATTGCCAGTAGAACAGGTAATTACGTCTGGGCTGCTTTTCTTCTCAAGACATTCAAAGATTTGTCATTGTCAAAATTGTTCGTACCTTTCAATGTACAAGATGGACGAAAGAGCACAGTTTGTTGAAACCAGTGAAAACAAGACTTGGGTTAGACATTTTATGTAATAATCATAATCCAACCATACTGTACTTTGTGGGTTAACCACTCCAGAATAGCCCCGAATAGATATCAAACTAAGAAAGTACTTGACTTACAAATGTGAAAAGGAAAACAAGAAACCAAGGCCCTGAAATGAAGAAAACTATTTTGATGAGCTGTTTATGTCGGGCCTCAATCTTGTACTCGCCTCGCCAAATAAATCTGTATTCATGAGTGTTCCTGATTAGTTACGACTATACTGGTTTGGTCGCAGGTCCGAATTTACTCACGTCGACCTGTGCAAAATACCTGCATAGCACAATCAGTGCGCCCAATTCTCGTTCAAGCTACTGCACTGTGTATACAGGTCGGCCGCTCCATCACGACAGTCTTATGGGATAGCCATGGTCCCTGGTATGATGATCTACCTTCAGTTGTTGGCAATGTATAGTCTGTTTTTATATTGTATTGTCATTTATAGTTCAAATATTTTAGATTTAATTACTAGTTTCAAATGGATATCTGTTATACACTAGTAGTTTTACTGTTCTTCGTCAACAGGCTGTTAATTTACAATTTTATTGATCTATAATATAATTATGAATTGTTCTCGTCACGATATGGCTGAAATAATGCCGATGTGTCGATAAACAATAACTCACTCACTCTTATGGGATAGTAGCTAATACCATCCTCAACTGTGGGGCACCAGAGAACATTATTGGCGTATCCACCACCACGTTCCAGGGCGTGCAGCTGCACAACACCACAATGTCTGCTCGTCTTTCAGATGGAGTCTCCCCATCTAAAGTCAAGGCTAAACTCAATTCACTTTCGTATGTGAGGGCAGAAAGGATCTGGTTCAGGTTCTAAGATGGAATTACCATTCATAGAAATTAATACTGCTGCAGTTTGTCAGGCTAAAGATCACGTCATGAATGGGGAAGCACCACATACCTTTTTAGTTCCATGAAAGACACCCCATCTCGGCACACCATTTGAAACACACTCAGAACAGTGTTTCAGTATGGCTATGAGACTACATCCAAGTTAACTTGCAGGATTTTCTTTACACCTGAAACCACTTTCAAGTCACTATCAGTGAGTAGGTGAGTTGGGTTTTGCGATGCTTTTGCCAATCTTCCAGCAATATCACCACTGGGGACATCACATATGTGAGGCTAATAGTGCCCTGGCCTTCGGGCTGACGAGCGAACTCTTTAACCATTGGGGCAAGTTCTCCGCTCCGATTATGATATACTGATGCGCAATAATTAACAACCACCCCTCTTTTATGTAAGTACGAAAACACTACAAATTCCGCTTATTCAAATGGTAATGGTAACCGCTCTTACTCTGATTAAACAAAACTGAAATTGGACAATTTACTCACAATGTAAGAGCAGTACATGAGAACGTGACTATCAGCACTTCCAGAATGTGTGGTCACCATGGCAATGCCACCATCTGATTGTCACGATGAATTCATTGATGTCATTTATCAGCCACTGCCTCAGTTCCTGGTGTTGACACACCTATCAGTCCCCTGCATACTGGCAATCAAGCTTAAAATTCTCAGCATCTGAATCCTTTGCCATGGAGTGCGTGCGTCATTTCCTGCACATTTTGGATAGTCTGCATCTCTAGCACGAACTATTGTGTGTTGGGCTTTCTGAATGCCCAAGAGTGTCGACATTTCAATCTACGTTTAGCCACTGCCAAACCTCCGTTCACAACCATCCGCAACAGCAGACATTCCGTAAGAATTCGCAAGTTGTAATGACAAGGAGTTTACTCATCCAGCTTTGTTAGTTAGCCCTTTTGTGCCACGTACAGAAGTCTTGGTTTTCTCTCGCCAAGACAAGAAAGATGCGAAAACTGGCTGGCTTGCTCTACAATCAGATAGAAGTGATCTATATTATACCCCTAAAGAAGCTGACAGCTGTGAAGAATGTCAAAAGTTGCCTCAATGTTCCACCATAGCCAACGACGGTCTTCTTATAGTCGCTAGACGTTGTGAAACATTGACCCGCCACCAGATATTGCATTATATTTGTTCTGGAAGGTCTGTTATCTGCCTCCCAGATTCAGCTTGGCTACCCTCATACATTCAGATCAAACCAGTAACACATCATTACGTTTGTATACGTGAGTTGGCATCACAGCAGATTTCAGGATAGGGGAATAAGAACCCTTTAGCAGGAAAAGCTATACATAAACCAGAGCAAGAACACTTACGTCAGGACTTTTTACTAAACACCAGGTTTCGAATCAGGGGCAAGTTCACCATCGAAATGCAGATCCGTCGAGGGTAATTTTCCAATTCGCATATACCGTTTTCCGTCGGAAATCTAAAAACTATTGCAGAAAGTAACAGTATCGTCACTAAAGCATCATACCCATAGTGAGTGCACACTGGATTTGCTTATGCTGATTGTGTGTAACCTCATCATGATTATCATTATAGGATATTTATATAGTGCACATATCCAGGCAACTGGGTGCTGGCATTTTTTCTTCTATCATTGGATGTCAATCTCAACGGCACATCGTTTTATCAATCTCAACCCTCTGGGGAGTAAACAACTCTTGCAGCCACTAGGCGCACCGAGTTATTGTGGCTTTCTCATCCTAACGAGGTACCCATTCACAGCTGGGTGGACTGGGACACATAGTCACAGTACTTTGTCCATGTTCACTGCACGTTGTTGTACCCGCTACTAGGTGTTTGCACGTATTCATGTGGCCACCATCTGGTCATATACCAACGGATTCTTGGGTTCTTTTAAGTGCACAGGGTTGTGTACTGTACACTAGTGGTTGTGACAACACTGAAAGAGTCTGCACACAAAGTTGACTCCAAGGTCTTTACACCAGGTCACAGGTTCACAGGTGGGCTCGATCCCGATACCTCAAGCTCGCTGGATCACTAGCCTGGCGCCTTTGCCCGCTCGCCCACCGCGCCCCCAAACGACACATTGGAGTATCGTTTCATGACCCGTAAGCAATACCAAGGGGGTTAACGAACTCACAGCTGACTCTATTCTAGTCATTAGAACACACACAAAAACCGCATTACTGAAACACTCCAAGATAGCTAGCCTGGTGTCATTTCACAGTTTCGACTTCCTCGATCTAACAGCTGTACAGTCAATATATATATCCATATATTGTTATCCTTCCTCCAAATATTTTTTTTGATATAAAACTTCAACATTCCACATTTCAGAATCACTGTTTTCAGTTTTCTTGAAAAGTGTCAGTTTGAGTTCGATTGTAGCCAGATATTTGCACTCTTTTACAACCTCCAACGTAAGTCGGCTGATGGTCTCGGTGTGATGTCAGTTTCCTTCCTTCAACTGTCTATGTTTTACATAGCTGACCTATTTGTAGAAGTAGGGTCAGGGTAACGAAAAATACATTCTTGTGTGACGTAGTAATCTGATATATTTTCATTCTAAGCTTTACACTTGTGAGAAATAGTATTAAACATACAGCAGCAACACATCTGTCATTTACTATACAGCAACCCCTTGACTTGTGGCCCTTCACTCTGCCACCTGTGCTACGGAGTCTCTTGTCGTCACAAGATGCATGTGCATCCAAGTTTAACATCTCATTTAGATACATATGACACATGTACATCTTTGTACCCATTTTGTTGGCATGCACTTTATTTAAACGTGTTTAGACATGTTTAAAATCTAAAACATATACAAACTTTAACATGAATCTAAACATTTAGATCTAATCTGTGATCTTTCTAATCTGGTTCATAAATTGTCATAAGGTAACATTCAATGTCTATACACATTTACCTGTATTCGTTACACACATATTTAGACTGGAGGTGTATGGATATAGGCCTGGTTAGGATGTCCCCCAATGATGTATCGACGGGCGGCACAGGTACACAACACTACAGGTTCACGTGGTACTCTCATGGGACATCAAACCGAATTTTAGAGAGACAAAATAAAGCTAAGGATACCATCCGCACTTTTTCCAAAGCATAAATGTTATATGTTGTCATAATTCTTGGGAACAACTACGGTCATATATCTGATCCCTGTGTACAACTTGATAGACAGTATATGAAATATGCCATGGCTCATAAACCATCTAGAAGAATACTGTGTACAGTGTACTATTCCAACTTATGATATCAACATGAACCATGCACGCCAAGGCTTCAATATAAAGCACAATACATGCCACTGCGTCACCACATAATACAGTTTCCTGTCTTCATCCTGATTTTAAATTCTTTGGGATTCAGTCTAACCCTGTTAAAAATTACAGAAAAGATTCTGTTTGGTTTATGGCAGTTCTTATCCATGTGGTCATCGGATCGCTCATTACACACGTGGCATTAGTTGTGTGTTAAATAACATGGAAACAAGTCAAATACTAATGCATATATAATCATCAGTGTTGTACCAGAACAGAACATTTCGTGGCCATTCCTATTCGCCGTGAAAGTACCAGCGATGACAGTTTATGTCACGTGAATGGGTGTTCCAATTGGAAGATTTCCATCAATGTGTCTGTGTATCGCACACGACGGGTTGGAACCTTGGTTTGTTATAATGAACCCTGTTTGATTATCATGATGATCAGGAGTCGTAATCTCCTGTGGTTGCGACACTTTATCTACGCTCTTTTGGTCATGACAAATGTGAAACATTGCCTGTAGTTTGTGTTTCAGGACACGAAAATCCCTTGTCTCAGTGTGTGAAATCAAATGTGGTTAAATAGAAAACATGTTAAACGTTAATATATAAATATCTGATATAAAGAGCGAATTCACACACGAAAACATCGCATTTAATATTGCCCTCCAACCAACTTAAATGCGTTATAACAAGGTATGTGATGACACCACTATAAAGTTAGGGGTATAATAAATTAAATGTATTGCACTTGTCTTGCCTGTCTTGCATGCATTTAAACAATTAAATGACATGATTTGTGCATGTTTGTTCCAGCTGTTGCATCCAAGCAGTGCACCGTGAATGGCACCTGGTGGCGGGAGAACCTAACCAACCAGGAGTGGACAGACTACACTACGTGTGTGCATTTACAGGTAGAGTTACCTCCCCATATTGTTCACACTAATGACTGAGGAGATTAATTCATAGTCAGTTCCATTAATGTTCATTTGCTCAACATATAATAACTGAGTTTCACATTTACATTAAGGCTGTTTCGTAGTAGAAATTATTCAGAAAACTTTTCACATTTCAGATGACACAAAACACTGCAAACGCTGCATTTGTTAATGATTTGTATCCGGAATGTTCTGTTCCCGTAAAATACTTCGGAAAACCAACCTTCGTAGGTGACACAGACAACACAGTTAGGGTAACCAAAGTCTAGATACCGTGCTAACTTCTATGACCTTTTAGATGAGTGAGTAAGCGTGTATGGTTTTACGCCGCGTTTAGCACTCTTCCGACAATCTTACGGGGAAATTATGGGTTCACGCTTTGTACCCATGCGTGCATAACCCACAAAGCTACTCCTTGACCTAAACACCGCTAAATAGGTTGTGTATGCGTCTCTATGCAGTATGTGTATAACACATAATTAGATTATACTCACCACAGAAACTGCTGTGCCTTGCTTGTTTGCTGGAATCAAGTGATTGTATTTCTGGTATTTTCCATCTACTATTCATTGTTATCATTATCTATATATTCACAAATCTACCATTTAACAATATTTCTTCAGGAAGAGTGAACATATTTAATATGTTAATGGTCCAGGTACTGAATAATGCCCATATTATTATGTTCCCTGCATGAAATGAGGTAAACATACTTCTTCAGCATATGGCGACAATCTGTTTCGATTGGAGATGATTGTAGTTTTATCATATCGCATTAATATATTGTCACATTGCTAGATTGCCATGTCATCGTATTACTTTAAAAAATCACAATGTCTTTTCGCTCAGTCGTGATGTCTCGTACCGTGCCGGTTTTCGTATTGTGCGTTATAGATATGTCGTTTTTGTCTGTTCTGCAACATAGCATCAAACTATTTGTTTGCCGTGATATCGCGTTTACTGTTGATTACGATATTGCAAGACCTTTATTAAGACTGTCAAAACAATTTCTTCGCATGGTAAAAATGAAATCGTATTATAAGGAGTTCAATATGAAGTTACAAACCGTTTTACTCTAATGTCCAAGATATTTTTATGGATGAAACTTCTTTTTAATTTCTCTCACGACGTTTCAAGACCATTCCAGGTCCCTTCATCAGGTGAACTGGCAGTTAGGACTATGACGTCGTCACTATGACGTCATAACTGAGTTATGACGTCACAATGCAAGTGACATCACAGTACACTAGGGAGAGTACTGTATAAGTGAGTTTGAAGAGTTAATTACATAATGATGAAAATTCATGCTAAATAATAGAGTTGAAAGTTGAATTGTCAATTCACAACAACTGCTAATTACTCAAAAGTTACTTGATAGCAGGCTTTCCATAAAGAATAGTAGATTCGTTTTTCTTTTATCTAAAGTTCATCAAAAGTTAATCAAGAGGTCCCACGCACTTGGCAGGTATACACCTTGATCACGATTCATTGCTGGTTTATGTCTCCTTATCTCGACAGCCTCCTGTAGTTTTCTCCGACGCCAGTCGTTGTTATTTCTCGAAAGTACAACTTCTAAATGCCACTGAAAGACATCGTTTTACTCTATTTAAGCTTATGGCATGTGTTTTGTACATCACAGGAGAGAAGACTGAAAATATCTTCTTTAAAACTGTTCACCGACTCCCTAAATCAGAATATCAACAGAATATGCGAACAAGCCGCACGCACCTCCTTGCATGACAGCAAATTTGTTATATTTGCCTCTCAAGGACGCCATCTAGGAATCCAGAAGACTCCTGAGCGTTCAAACCGATCTAACAGATGACCAAACTAAATCAGCAAGCAATACCCAGTCATACGAAATGCGCGAGCGAGACAAGTTGCGGACACGCGTAAGAGTGCTTGGAACGGAAGTGATAATTGAAACCAAGAAACCAGATTATCCATGGTCTTTTTAGATATGATCAGCACAATTACCAGAAAGAGTGAAAGATGAACGAATACTACTCTTGATGCGGAGCGACGCAGTACAATTTCAGTGTAGATGAAGCGAAAAACCCTTCAAGTTAGACATTAGACACTTCGCGTGTTTCTTTTTGGGTATAGATTACTTTGTTTATGTTATACTACGTCAAATATAGAATCACATTATACAAGAAACGTTTCAAATTTTATACACCATGTCAGACAGTACTTGTACAGTATGAAATCAAACTTGCAGACCTGTATTCACTTTGAAACTGAACGACCACCTATCAATGGTACAGTCTACCGGAAGGCACGACAAAATATACAAGGGCATGACAACACCCATTCTAGTACTACGAATCTAACATTACCTCAACAATAGTGTGTACCCGGTATAATTCTTTCAAACATCTTATGTCAGATAGACCACGGCAGAAAACGCAAAACTGTTATCTATGAACTGTAGAAGTCCAAATAATAATTTTGAAAGGAGAAAATTTTTCGGCTCCTGAAACAGAAAAAAATATTTAAGGTTTGCAAGATGTACATTTACCTTCAGAGTAAAATGTGCTTGGTAACAGAACATTGTGGCTATAGTAGATGTGACATAAATACATACAAGTGGTATTCACAAGCAACTGCAATATTCTTTAACAATAATTTCAGTTTTAAAGATTTACATGGTGTCAGACAATTTCTTTTATGCAGGCACGTTTAGATTTTTCTTTATTATCTCATGACATCCGTTAAGAAATGTAAAATTTTGCCCAGTATTTATTATGATCATTTCCCCATTGAGGAAAGATCGTGTTTTTTTTTTTCAATTCAGTGACCCAGAATCAAGACCTTATAACAAGGAAACAAAGCCCACATCTGGAAAGACATGTTCCCATGGCGTCAGTGGTCACACTGGCCTCACAGTGGTATGCTTTTGTAAGGCTTCAGTGCAGTGTTGTTTGCATTACAGAAATAAAGAAATTGATAATATATGTACCAACATTACTAAGCAGGGGCGGATCCAGGATTTTGGAAGAGCGGTGCACATTTATCATGAAGTCCAAAGGTTAGGGGGAAATGCTCCCCATGGAAAAATAATTCGGGGAAAAAGGTGGGTTGGGTAGGGGTGGGGGACCCTGCTTAGACCTTAGCTATCACGTATGTGCAAAGAGTTTGCGAACGGATCTCCAACGGTATGAGAAAATGATACAGAGTGTAACATCTGAGCTTCACTTTGTTTACATTTTCAACTTGTGAGCGGTCCTTTCCCTGCGTTTCGTTTTCACATCTGATATATTTGGCTAGATTTCACTGAGGCACTTGGTATTGGCGACAAAGACCAATTCTCATTGTGTTTTGAACTGTATGAGGACTTCAGGGGTTCGTGTAAGCAAGCTGATTTTGAATTATAGTTGTAATGTAATGGGCGAAACATTACCGACATACAATAAACACTCTGCAATATGGCTCAATTATAGTTATATGTAATGGGCGAAACATAACCGACATACAATAAACACTCTGCAATATGGCGGAATGTTCACTGTTGACGTTTTCCAAAACATTCTGAGCGATTCTCGTCTCATCGACGATGTTTCAATATGGCATTTGGTGATTCGGTCAAACAACGGCCAAAATACCGGGGATAACAATGAAAGGTTGGGTTTTTTTAAATTCAATTCTCCCAGTAAAATTGGACATTTAAATTAAGACATAGAATCTATACAAACTTATGCAAAAGGCCGTGAATGGTGATTTAGTAATGTGCATTTAGACTGGCGAGATTTACGATTAATGTAATGTTGCCCTCTCAACAATGAGCGGATGATATCATAGTAGAGCGAATTTCAAACGGAATTCAAAACTGCCGAGTGCATATAACTTCGTGATATATTTGGATATGGTTTCGACATCGAAGTTAAGATAAAAAGGAGGGACATATTGCACGATTTATGAAGAAATTTAGGTAGCAAACTTGAATTCCGTCACATTCATGGATTGATACAGTGCATCTGAAAAAGAGATAATGTTTAAAAGACGACCGATTCATGTTGAATGTTACACAATTAGGTTACTGGTAACACTTTTTGCACAATGTATACGGTTTTTCAAACCGCAACGTCATCATAGTACAAGTGTTCCAATACTCTTTTCCAGAATTTCACCCATAGTGCAATACAAAGCTTGTGAAGAAACCTGGAAAAGACTAAGGAACACTTGTACTTTCAGGTGTTCCCTTATTCGTTTCCATGAGTATACCTTTGCATCCACATATAATTATAGATCAGTGATTATTTCGGTTCACTTTACAAATTTGGGGATGTCAATCTTAGTGAACTATAGTATCGCTGGTCGAGTTCTGGGTAAATGTTATTGTGAAAGATCATAATCGGGATGAAGTTGGGATTCGAACCTACAATCATCGGAGCTGGCTACTAGAGACAACCACTCATTTCTGTTCTTCATATGAGCGGGTAACCGCTGAAAGTGTTTGTTTTTCTCATTTCTGTCTTTTAGCCTGTAACGCTGCGCTGGTGTGATTACTAGGCTATTTTCAACTTGGCTATGGCTCCGATACTCTATACCTACCTGTCAAGTCACCGATTGCTTATCTGGTGTTATCAAGTTACAGCCTTACCATCGACAATAGTTGTCCGGCACTGTCACGTGCTGAAGCGCGTGCATTATATTTCACCACATCGTGACTTCAATGTAATCTGTATTGGAGATGATTGATGCGAAGTGTGTGTTACACTAAACACGTAATACGATCATTATTCGCGTTTCTACCCTGAAGATGATGTATCAGGTTAAAAGTTGATGCGATCTGAGAAATGTAATATGAGATCACACATTAGCATCAATGTCTGTATTGCTGTAACAATTGCTTTGATACTATCTGGCAACTGTGATTGCACTGCTAATTCATTTTGTACTGTCACTGCGATTCCCTTGCAGAAATTGTGCATTGTACATTTCTTAGTTGTGTGTTTTTTACAGGCAGATTTCTGGTTAACTCGTTTCAACTCGGAAAACAATAATATTATTAAGTGGAATAACACCTTTTTGTCATAAACAATTCAGGCGCTGTGAAGTTGTGAATATCATTCTAGACACTAGTTCACATCCGTTTAGAAGCAGGGATGAACAAATCTCTTAAGGCTTTATGTTATATCCAGATTTCCTCACATTTACAGAATAACACCTAGTAAGGAGCTATTTACTAGTTGTGATACATCTGATAACTGTCCATGCGTAGCGTTTGAAAAAATGCACACTTCGTACGACATTTTCGGACAGCTGCGTTGTTATCGGGAACATGCGTTTTGGCGAGTGCGTGAGTGAGTCAGTCAGTCAGATCACACGGCCTCATAAGTGTACACACTATCCAATTAATGATTGGACTGACTGTAAGACCTTGATTATTTTTGTCTTAATAACAATGCGCTATTGCTGTGGAAAAATAGTTACAGGTGTGAGAGCGTGCTGGGTCACTAAAATATTCTACCATTTCATGTAACTTACATGGAACTTAATTAAGCAGCCCCCTGCTTTAGAACAGTGATAAGAACAGAAAGGTGTCAGAACTTCCATACTTCTAGAAGGGCAGTAATTTGATTTTCTAGTGGAAGATTGAATACTAGTAATCGACTGCAGAAAAACAACAAAATGTAGGCAGTATGTTATTTTGTATGCTCTGGACTAGAGACATGCCAACACTGCCTATCTTGTGGAAAAGCATTTAACCGAATACGTATTGTCCTGGCACGACGCTGTTAGCTGGCGCTGTGTGGGTAGACCCTTGATATCTATCGAGATGTTTGACCTCAGTAGCTCGTGTATCCGCCACATGCCTGGATGACAGCCTCCACCTTTATCCTGCCCCCAGTGAGCCTGCGGATACGTTCCCGAGGCAATTGCTGCCGTTCCTCATGTAATGTTGCCTCCAATCCACACACATTTTGTACAGGAGGGACCCTTGCCTGCAAACAACGACCAAGAATGTCCCAAATGCGTTCGATGGGGTTCAGATCAGGGCTCCTTGCAGGCCTTGCATGTGAACGATGCAGCCAAACATTGTCGTCCATGAATATGGGGAGGGTGGTGGGTGGTTATCAAAATGAGGCACAAGAAGTTGATCAAGCATGTCCGTGATGCGGCAATTACGATTTCCCCGTACAGTCACCACAGTCAACCTACAGGCATGGGAGACACATCCCACAGAATAAAATAATCTCAACCAAAGGGAACAGGAGGACGATTGTTCCTCGGCACATAAGCAGCGCTGTCTTTGATGTTCCGGAGTCAGAGTTGGACGCCTGATCCTCCGACGGGACCTCAAACCAAGCGCCTTGAGACTGTTACTGACAGTCTTGGTTGACAAACGTCTGTTGGGCATCCTTGACAGTGCCTGTTTGTTGGTATTTCCTGATACGTCAACAGATGACAGAGTGGCAGTAACCAAGCTGACGTGCGATGACCTTGAATGACATGCCAGCTGCATGGATACCCACTATCAGTCATCTCAGTTCCAATGAAAGAGTTCTTCTCGCCATGTTATCGGGTATGGATGAAACGGATGGCATATTCACGGCAAGGCAGATATACTACTTTTCATGATATGAGTCGGTAGCATGCTTCGCTGCGTTTTGGCAAACTCTTTCAACGTCAACGTCATGCAAAGATAAGACATCGATGTGCATATGATAGTTAGGAGTTTTGACGTGTTACAAGCCCCAAAACATATTTCCAGAGGTTTAACCGATGTAGGTCGTACAGGCAAACCAATGATAATAATTATAATTATGTATAACCTACATGATGGTTGCGAGTGATGACAATGCCGAGTAACTAGTGGTACAGTGCTCATTGCATTGATAAGAAAGACACATTCAGCAAAGATATATGGGATTGTATATATTTGAATAAATTTATTGAACAAAGGTGGAACTTGATTTTTTTCCTGGTGCAGAAGGTTTCATGTAAATATGTACCTGGTGCAAATTGAATATAGTTCCTAAACTCGAGCCCGGTCATTTACGCTCCAGAATACAGTAATTTACCCCGCTAGTGCAACCACCCGATCTTTCGAATGCCTTATCCATCAGAATGTCCTACCTGCAGATGTGACAAATTTTTAATCGTACATGTATTGCCTTTATTGAAAAGATAGTCTCCCCCAAAATATCGAGTATTTTTGTACAGGTTTGACAGTGACAAACATCTTTCTCAAACATTATGCTTAATTACGTTTCCTTTGATACTGATGTTATATCATCCTTAAGATAATTGCTTAGTAAAATTGTTTGGATCATGTGTTGTCATTTGATTGCAGGGATTCAAGACTTTGTACTATGTAGGTGTATCCTGCAACATCTTTAGTCTGGCCCTTCTACTGCCTGCGTGTGTGGTGTTTGTGCTGTATAGGTAAGTGGCGTATGTGTAGACAATACGTAACACCGTAACATATGTCATATTTGGGATTGCACTTTCTCTGCAAAGTTGGGATACGTTATCCTAAATTTAACAAATATGTTACATTTGACCACTTTCTAAATGATATTGTGTATTCACAGCCTTCGCCCATGGGGTCCGTGCCAATTTACACTTGTCAAAGTACCTGGTCTGGGCTACCAGGAGTCAGAAGCCACGCTGGCTGAGTGGGTTAGATCACTGATGTTGTGTGCTGGTGATTAGGCGACTGTTTCTGTCGACTGAGGGATGAAAACTCGAATGGTAGAATTTCTACTTTGCTCAGAAAGAATAATCCCAAATATAACATGTGTTACATTTGACCCTCATCAGAATGACATTGTGTATTCATGTGGACTACAATGGCATTTCATATCTACAAATTATCGGCCCTCTTTGAGCAAGTGTGGTCAAATTAACTAACTGTTGTCACCGAATTAATGTATTATTGGTTTTCAAGTGAACATTATTCACAAATATTCAAATTATTACCATGCGCGTCACCCATTGTACCGACCGCAGCCAGGATGAGTTTTAATACAGTACTCTCTCATCAGATCATCCTTCCTTCCTTCCTTCCGTTCTTTCCTGGCGAAATCGCCACTAAAAATTGAAGGTCTATGAAACGCTTACGTTGTGTGCATAATCCAATCGTTGGTGTCTCAAACGATTGCTCATACATTTCTTATACTCCTATCACACCAAACTCGTTCTCATGTACGGATCGGGCTCGAACTGTGTGCGAACAGACTGGCCGTAGTGGCATCTGTTTCCAGTCTGTTTAAGAACTTTATGGAAGGAACAGGGACGGAAGGGTGCCCCAGAACGTTGAACATGTCCAACGTTCTACCCGTTCTAAAAGGGGACGGAGTTACAATGTACCTAAAACGAGATTGCCGTACTACGAACGGAATTGTCGTACTATGAACGGAATTTCCGTACTACAAACGGAATTGTCGTACTACGAACGGAATTGCCGTATTACGAACGGAATTGCCCTACTTCAATCTCACTGGGGACGTGTGCGTGCGTAGTGCAGTCGGGCATCAATTGCAATACGCTTGTACAGTTTGTACCACGTTGAGCCCGTTAGCGGACATAGCTATCTCGACCGCATTATGTCCTTAGTTAGTTGCTATTCCGTGCAAATATGTTCAAAACTAAATGAACTGTTCCGAAGAAGTTCGTAGTACGTTTCTATACCGTTCTAAAAGTTCGCAATAGGTTTTCATTATGTTCTACTCGTTGTAAGTACTTTTATGTAGTTCTAATGCTTTTCTTACTACGTCAACACCGTGTGCAGTACGATATGACAAGGTAGGGTATAAATACATGCGTTTCTAACCGGTTCGTCATTTGGGAGATATTTCTACCTGTGAAACGAACAAGTTTGCAGCTGTCAACATGCTGAATGTTGGTTTCCTGCAGTGTTTATTGGAAGCAGAGCAAGAGTACAATGAGTGAGTGAATGAGTTTAGTTTTACGCCGCACTCAGCAATATTCTGGACCAGACAATCTAGTGATCAACAGCATGAGCATCAATCTGCGCAATTGGGTAGCGATGATATATGTCAACCATGTCAACGAGCCTGACCACCCGATCCCGTTAGTCGCCTCTTACGACAAGCATGGGTTACTGAAGATCAATATTCTAACCCTGACCTTCACGGGTGAAGAGTACAATGAGTTGGTAGTGCAAAAAAAAGGAGGAAAAGAACAAGAACTTGTTGGGCGAGGAACTTAAGAGGAGAATAGCTGTTGGACTTAATCATCAACTGATGAAGGACTGTATTTTCCACGATCTGTGCCCCTATTTGAACGGCAGAAATGGATAAGCTTGTGTACAGAGCAGTCAGGTTTTGGTCCTTGAGAGCCACCCGGCGAAGCACATTGAAGAGCGACTGACAGCAGTTCGAGTGCTGAGTCACGTGGGGTACTCGTACAGCTGTCAATCGCTCTTCAATGTGACGCGACTGGAAACTAGCGACAAGTGTATCTCAATATTACGTTTATGTGAATGATATAAACCATTCTTCAATATCATACACTTATTTGTATAATGCACATATCAGAAGTATTTTAGGCTCAAAACCTTTTCATAGCCCCTCGTACATATAGCTACTCTATCACATTCTGTGAAGTCATGTCCATCTCGTCACTATTTTTAGAACGTTAGGACGCCATAACAGAGATGTGTACATCGGGGAAAAAACATAAATTTCTACTTGCAGTCAGTGAAAACAGAGAAACGTGATAAGATTGCATGAACACCATATTGTTCAGAACATACGCCTAATCCTGTTGTATCTTTCCTCCACCAGGCAGCTGCGGACACAGCATCGCATACAGATCCACCTGAACCTGTTCCTGTCGTGTGTCATGACGAACGTGTTGATGGTACTGTGGGAACATCTAGTCTACAACGACCGTATAGAAAATCCAACAGAAAGTACATTTATGCATAAAAATACGGTAAATATCATACTTTTTTTACAAACCTTCACATATATGTAGTGCTTGTTGGCATCCGTAGATGTAAACGGATGTTTTTAAAAATTACCTTACATTCTTATAAATGATGACTCCTAACACGTGTCAAACTTAACTAGTTATGCTAGCTTGAGTATAAGTTATCCATGAGTCTTTGCAGCCCTTACACCACATTTATATAATAACTCGTCACATTATGTTTCTGGAAACCCAACTGTCCAGAAACTATCCGCACACTGGCCAGTTTCGGACAAAGGATTAAAAAAAGTCAACATATTAACATTGGTATATGCTGAGGATGAAAACATAAAACAACAACATTTAAACTATCATTTAAACATGGCCAGGCCCGTAGGCGACAATATTTGCGCTGGCTCAAAACTCGTTTTAGAGGTTGCAAATTCGGCAAACTTAATTCGGCTAATTTATAGCGTTATTTAAATATCTCGCCCATAAGCAAGAATATATACGCTCGCTCAAAGCGCAGGTTCTCGCTGTTCTAAATAAATGCAAGTGTATCTATCAGTATCACGACACAAAATACACCTAACTGAAATTAATTGAGCTAATTCATAGCGTTCTGAAAACATCTTGTCAATGCACAAAGCTAATGTTTCTTTATACTGCAAATTCATACAAGAATAGATGCACGTATTATGACACAAACTTCAACGTATTTTACCTTCAATTAGCATTGATATCTCGCCCATAGGTCAAACATTTTGGTCCGAGTGAGAATAAAATGAGGCAATAAAATTGTCCTCATCTCGACACTCACTTCTTGGTTATGCTAAAATACAACAAAAGGTGTAGCAATAAGTACTGCGACATACATTTCAACATTTTTAGCGTTATTATATTAAATGTATATCGTCTTCTTTATGATTCGTGTTACAATTCGATCGTTTTGTTTCTTAAATGAATATTAATACTTGTATAACCGTGTGATCCTGCATGTTATGCCAGATGACGTGAACGTGTGTAATGCAGAGTTCAGTTATGTGATACACGAGACATTTTCTCTTGATGAAATAGTTAGATGTGAAATCTTTGTTGTGAGTAGTGAAATTAAAAAATATATATGACATCAGTAATGTCCAGTCAATAGAAATAGGAAAAAATGAACTCGATCTCGTGAGGTCCTTTATAATTTAATTTCAGCATATACAAATGTTATACTTTGTGCACACAAATAACACTGTAGGTGTCTTCGCACTACAGATCGCAATGTGGTCTTGCTGATTGAATCTTTATGAGATTCCCGGTCGCGTCAGGTTAAAAAAGAATTAATAAAATACTTGTTGACCTGCCTGGTGATCGGCACTGGGGGTAAAACCAGCTCCGGTCGGCTCTGTGTTAGGTTAATACTTATCACAACCCAGTACTTACCGTGGACTGACAATTTACAACCAGCACGTTCTTTTTGTTTTCCAAATAATGCATGACTTTGTATAAATACAATAAGTATGACTCTCACTTCAACATATTTAACACAATTAAACTAGTCTGTAGCTATATAAAAACTTTGGTACAATTACAAGGGCCAACATGTTTTCCTTTACTAAAACATCGTTTCATGGCTTTGAAGAAACATAAATGTACATGTCATACGGCACTTGTCATCAGCGGTGGTTCAACTTTTCAAATTGGAATCCAATTGAAACTTAACAATACATTAACAAGACACTTGATAAAATAAAATGACTTAATTGAAAATGCAGATCATATGGGGAATGGGCCGACGTACTTGAGAACACATATAACAAGTGAAGCGTGGTAAACGGTAAAGTGAGTGTCAATGGTAATTCAGTGGGTGTCGGAGATGGCAAAGCACTGTTGCGCTTGGTTGGGCTAACATTGGACTAAGGCGTACTGACTGTCAAAGGTGCACCGAGTTATTAGCGGTTCCACTAAATGATGCAGATAGATTGTCCTCACTCATTTTGCAAATTCTGACTAAAGGGAAACAACATTTCCAATTTAAAATATAGGTTCGGCTGTATTCTTGTAGTGCTGCGCGAAACGGCACCAACCGAATTGCTTCAGTAAGCCGAAAATACACATTACCCCCAGAACCGAGACAAATGCTAACCACTAATTACTGTGTATCCATGACACCCTAAAAGGCAGGACTGAACGTTAATCAAGTGGATGGCAACGGATACACACGTGTAAAGAAAACAGCATTAAACATGGATGGTTTTTTTGGATGGTTTGTTGTTTAACGTCGCACTCAGCATATGACATACAACTATATAGCGGCGGTCTGTAAATAAACGAGTGCATTCAATGGATCAGACAATCCAGTGATCAACAGCGTGAGCATCGATCTATACTATTGGGATAGGATGATATATATGTCAAATAAGTCAGCAAGTCTACAAGTCGCCTCATTGGCTGCTCCAGACCAATTCTAACCCGGGTCTTTATGGGTCATGGATGATAAGGAGGGAGTAATAACATTGTTTTTAATGAAAAGTAATGCCCTTCTCTGATTCGAGTTTACGAACCCATGTTTAACGGTGCAAAAATACGTGCACCACATAACTGTACGAACACGTTTACACACACAGATGAATTTGCAAAGTTAATAGCTTTAGAAGGCAATGTCCAAATCAAATGCGAAGATGCAAGGGGATTCGTCTTATTGTAATTATTATATGATATTTATATAGCGCACATATCCAGGCAACTAGTGCTTGCTCAAGGCGCTGGTATTTTTTACTTCGATCACTGGATGTCAGTCTCAACGACACATCGTGTTATCAATCTCAACTCCCTGGGGATCATACAAGTCTTGCAGCCACTAGGCGCACCGAGTTATTGTGGCCTTCTCATCCTAACGAGGTACCCATTCACAGCTGGGTGGACTGGGACACATAGTCACAGTACTTTGTCCAAGTTCACTGCACGTTGCTGTACCCGCAACTTGGTGTTTGCACGTATTCATGTGGCCACCATCTGGTCATATACCAATGGATTCTCGGGTTCTTTTAAGTGCACAGGGATGTGTACTGTACACTAGTGGTTGTGACAACACTGAAAGAGTCTGCACACAAAGTTGACTCCGAGGTTTTTACACCCGGTCACAGGTGGGCTCGATCCCGACACCTCAAGCTCGATGGATCACTAGCCTGGCACCCTAGCCAGCTCGCCCACCGCGCCCCTTCATTGTCAACGAGGTCCTCCGAGTTCCACAGTTAAGTGAGTCCCTGATGCTGATTGTCACCTCGGGATGTTTCAGTAACGCTGTAAATGAGCCGAATTAAGTTAAAATGAGTTGAAATTTACTCGGAGACACACGTTCATTCATTTGCATCCCCCAAAACGTTAGCGAGCGTTAATATTGTCGCCCATGGGCTAAACTGCTCCGTCCTTTGGTCTGCCCCTGGGCGAGGTACTTTACATTTTGTGTTTTCGAAAACAATTCTGTTCATGATTTCATCCTTAGAATATACCTATGATAATAGCATGCTCAGTTATACATGTCATTTCTGGGTTTACTGAAAAGAGTTGGTAGACAGGCATTTGTGCATCAACTACTCATACTGCGCATACTTTGTCAATATATGTTTCAAAGTTGGACAGTGTTAACGATACGTAATTGGTAAATAAGTGTCTACATGTAAGAGGATATGTATGCATGCATGCAGGTACGTGCACAAGCAAAATCATTTTTGTATGTTGTAAATATTTCTTTCCAGCAATTTTGTATGATAGGTATATACCACATAGTTAATTAAACGCCATTCTTTTAACTGTAGATCGAATATAAAATGTCCATTGTCGTCTTCTGTTAAGAAAATGAACTCTGTGATCCATTGATGATAACACCAAAAATCTTAATTAATTGTTCAAACTCAAGGTATCAAGTCCTCAACAGCCAATTAATGACCAGAATAAGTAGATATTAGCCAAGCCAAATAACAGCTTTTCGATTCAACAATCAATATTATCATTAGAACGAAAATCAAACGTGGCCTTCACGAACACTATTTGTGTTTATCTCCACAAGGTTGAATCAATTCGGGAAAGAGGCAAACTGTCCTGTAGCTGTTGATCACTTTTCAAGTATTACATTATTGATTTAGATGTCGTTATAGACCATTACTGAGAATTTACTCCTCTAAATGTTAATGGTAACCGACGTTTGCCATCTCCATGATGTCAATGCCACCGGAGTAACGGTTGCTATGTGTAAAGAAGACAGACTTAAACCTCGAGTGGCCATGTTTTATATCCGTGGAATGTCATGAGTTTCTTCACGGTATCGTCTTAAAACATGTGATTGTCTCATGCCAGTTTTTATAACACACGTGTCGTTGACTAACCATGATGAGTGCCTCATTAATGGATAATGGGCTTCTAACTTTACAAATGAGTCTTCTATGCTGTCCGTTAATGTGGAACAGAAAATAAACATACTTATATACTTCATATTGCAATATTGTTACCATCGTGTATATTGATCATGACAAGTACAGAACATGATAGATATTCTTTCTAGTAATTGCGGTGTGTTTTGTATAACATACCCTTCAAAGGCTAGGACACGCTAGAGGATAGGAACAGTATCACACGTAGTTAAAATTGATAATATGGGAACTTCACAGGAAGGGATGTTTTGCTCTGAGGCTCCAAGTAACACGCCTTCTGATAAACACGATGAAACAGTTCCCTCCAGGTACTAATATATCTTTTCATTTGCCAGTTGCCAGACGTGCATGAACAGTACACGTGATATCGATTGACTGCATTAACCTTGTCTTCTTAATGAAAAAAAAGACGGAGTAAAAAGTCACTAGCAAGTGTGCAAACACGAAAACTATTACCAGTGTCATTAACCCCACAAAGATCGATAGTTCACCTTTATCACGGCGTCCTGTGGAAAGTCGAACCTGAATCAGACAAACCAAAGGTTATTCTATCGTATGTCGGAGCACCATGGTCATGACGCGA